TATCTGCGAGTAGTAAATAGAAAGATGAATGATACAAAAGCGATTGAGCCATATAAAGGTAGGTACAAATACAAAAGCATGCAAACAGTAAAAAAGCGTTACCACATCTGAATCAAGCTGCAGGGCTACGAATCGTACTGCAGATTTCGATGTACCATGAACCAGATACATCATACATACAGCAGTCTCCAACACAGATTTGATTCGCTAGCAGTGCAACCGATTGTCAGGAAGGAGCAAGAGAGGAAGAAAAAAAATAGTTGTACAACGAACGGTGCGTGGGTAGGTGCATATACTTACATACATACAGAGTACAACATCGCGACATGGATTTCTGCTTGTAGTTTATATGTATGTATAGAACTACGGAGTATGAATTCATTTGATCTGGATCTGATCTGGATCTGTCTGTGTACGGAGGAGTTGATGCGGGAAATTAAAGATTAAAAGATCGGATACAATAAATGAATGAATGGATAGATGGATGGATATAGAGAGGTACTCTGTGCAAGAAGATACACAGTTTGATTCATGCCAAAAAATTCCCATGTTCATTGTTCAATGTTCTCGAGAATCATATTATGAGGAGGAAGAGAAGAGGATAAAATATATTCTGCCACCAGTATCTAAGCGGTGAAGAGACGATTTGAATTATCCATACTGATTGGCTAGGAGAAAAACATCAGGTAAGCAACTCGAAAATGAAGTAAATAAATAATGAATTGAATAAATTGTTCGCATGCATATTTAATGCAATCATGATGAATTAATGCAAGAGACATGCACAAATATATTACATTAAATACACATCTCCACCAATTCGTCGATGCATAATTATTATCCCACATAGAATTTATGGCCATTGGTCGCACCCAGAGATCCACCCATCCATTCCAATTTGCATATGACCGGAGAATTCTTACGTGAAGGATTCGATTCAAGATTCAGGGGATTAAATGGCGGCATAATGAATATGACGGAGGGATAAACACCGTTAATTCTGTAAGATCTTTATATATCTTTTATTCTTATTTTTTTGCAGCGTGCGTGATATGACAACAACACAAATTCAATCACACCACAGAACATACGAATGTCAAATACCTACAACGGGATGGGAAAATGGGGGAGATGATCTAAAGATGATCTATGGGACGGACGTGGGATATTGGTTGATCTATGGGACGGACGTGGGGATGGGCATTGTTGATCTGTGAGATGTAGAATCGTAGATGGATGCAGAGAAATAAATGATGTAGATATGAGATCAGAGGATTATTAGAGTGCGCGTCTGGACAGTCTAATAAGCTTGGGGGTATGTGTATGTGGTAGGGAAGGGAAGGGAAGGGAAGGAAGGGAGAGCTCGGTCCGCGATCATGTATGTATGTATATATGTACGTATGTAGCACTATAGATGGAATGGCTATTCTTCAATCCCCTGCGACTGGAGGATTGGATGGATGGATGGGGGGAGATAAGATGATATGGGATAGAGATAGATGGATGGATGACAGTTCCACTCGCACCTTGGGAAACTTCTTTCTCTATTGTCTAGAAAATCAACACGAAATTGTAATTTTACTTGTACTCTGTAAATTCGCAATCCTATTTATTACGCGTAAAGCCAAAATCACGAAGAAATGAATAAAAAGGCAAAGTGTAACCGATCCGAACCAGTGGGAAAAATAAACTTCAAACTCAGTTTGTAGGAAGGAATTGTCAAGCCCATCCATCCATCCTGTTTCTGGCGGGGAAAGGCTATCAAATACCAGGGCAAGGAGAAAGTAAAATTCTCATTGACCAATGTCTATCTAGCCTTTCTCTATGTCTAGTGGATAAATAAATGCATAATGACAGCCTTGTCCAAGCGTAAGTTTTTTTTTCTGCCAGCCAGATGTAAATATCCCTTGTGTGCTCCCTTGTATGCGGCCGATCATTTTGGGCATAAGATGTTGAGAACGAGAGGGTGTGTGTGCGTGTGGGGAATTATGCATGTATAGCTGTGTCACTGTACAGATTAATATGGTCGGCTCGATCTATATTGGAATGGGGAATGGGTTCATGGACGTTGATAGGTATGATTTTGCGGACGGAGGGTTTGTATTTAATGCAATTGGGTATCTCTCGTCTGACACATTACTCGTGTTGGCCAATGATTTTCGGATTTTGATACCATCCCATACATCAACCCCTTCCCGCCCATTATTTTCTTACCGACCATTTCATGGAGGAGGGTTGTCGTCTCATCCAAATCTGATGATTCTATCAAGGGGAAATATTGAAATTGAAAATATCCGAATCCGTACCGAAAAAATGGATTCTTGTGAATAATAGATTGAGGATAAGAGGAGACTTAAAGGACCCCGAAATTTCAATATCAATATCAACCAAACACGCTATCCTTGAATGGGATTGAATCTCCTTCATCTGCTTTCGTCCTCCCCCTTTGAAAAAATTCTAGAAGAAAAAAAATCGAAGATAGCTGCACTTAAAGACGATATGCCGGGATAATGTATCACCGTAGGACCGCAGGCGCTGAAAATGCTGTGGTCCATTCGGAGTCGTTCGCGCGAAGCTAACCACAAGCCAGACCGAAATAACAGTTTTTGAAGTTTTCAACTAAGTTAAATGGCAAAACGTCTGGAATTTCATTGGATTGTTTGAAAATGGTGGAGTGAGAGTTTCAAGGTTGACGAGACGACGACTTAACAACAGCTCGGGCTGTAGGGGAGACCTTGCGATGAGACATGGATCTAGCTTTAGATCATGGAACTTGACGTTATGGAAAAAATAGAACCTTTGTACGAATCGTTTCTACGGAGTAAAGGGCAAATTTGATGATTTTGATGGTGTGGTCGGTGTGTTCGGTGTGCTAGAGTATGTGTCTAGATGTAGTTCGTGTGCTCTTTGGGCTTGGGATGACAAGAAGTTCAAATGATAGTATTGCTTATGGTTACTCGTTCCTCCGTCCAAACTGTACTCAAGTTAACGATAAATAGGCAGCTCTGGAATGACACCGTCATCAAGTTAGTAGTTAGTAGTTAATAGTTAATAGATAATAGCTAATAGCTAATAGCTAATAGCCATCTATTAGTTAGCAGTTACCTACTCGAGTAGCATGAAAAGGATGTCCAATAAGTATTTACCGGCAGTCAAGTATGCAGTGTTCATGACACTGACTTGACTTCCGCACGTATTTGAAGTGAGCTAATGTTCTCAATGTTGGTTTCGGTGAGATCCAAAAGAGATAGGTCCAAAGGAGATCAACCTGTTGGGGGATAATCCAACGAAAGTTTGAACTTTAGTGGGTTGCGGGGCAATTTTGCAAGTCTCTCTCTCTCTCTCTCTCTCTCTCTCTTTCTCTTTCTCTTTCCCTTTCAAGGAAAATCCCCTCTTAACTCGGTAGGTAGCTCCTCTCTTATCAAATTGACTTCCTAGCCACGAGCCATGTATCCATAAATAATAGATTTGAGCTAGCGACTCATGTGGATTCTGCTCATACCTATTAACCTCTCATACGTCTGCGTTGATTCTTTACTGAGGTTATTTCGAGATTTCCTTCTCCACCACGACCCTGCATTGAATTGTAATCCTGGATGAAAGATGGAAGTTTTCGGCAAGTTTTCCTTTTCTTTTCCACTTTTTCCCGAATCCAAACAGATGAAGTTGGCTTTATCTACTGGTGATTTGTATGATCCTTAAAATTGAGGTGAGGAGAGCTTTTTAACTTTATCGAAAGATCATCATTTGTCGTTTGAATGGATAGATTTTGAACATTTCCCCTCATGTTTCTAGTTCTGAACCTTAAGAACTGGGCATCTGGAAGCTCTTCTGAGGCTCTAAGAGACGTGACTTCTCCCGATTTAGCTAAAAGAAACGGCAATATTTAGCTTAGCCCCTGCATTCGTTATATTTAGCTTCAAATATGATATCAATTTATTAGCTTTTGCTTGAAATAATAAGCTGCCCCTGGAATCATAGAGATTGATTTAAATTCCATTGACTAAATTGGAATTCAAATGAATTGTCAATTTCATGAATTTCATCAAACTAGTTGTTATAGACTCTCCTTGATAGGAGTACTAGATCAAAGTATCGAGTTTCTGCTTTTCTGCTTTTCTACTCCTGGAAATGATCAGGACTAACTCATCATGATAGAGAAGTTCAAGTTGGAAGTTAGAATAGCACATGTATCTAGTATCTTTCTACCATCATTGACTCTGTTGTAACATCTACTTTTCCCTCTCTATTCTCTATAAGTACCAGGGATTCATTCCTATAGAATCACTCGTCTCATCTTCTCTCCTCAATGTCGGGATTCATCATATATACTTATCATCTATCACAATATCAACATTCATCCATCCATCAACCACCTATAATTTTACAATTTTGAAACAACCCTCGGACTTTCCCATTTATCCATTATCGAATTTCCAAAATACCCGTCGAGCAGGTAACGAGACACAACCAACCAACCGTTTTCTATTACTCTTAGCTGAAGTAGTGGAAATCGATACACCAACAAAATTGATCTCATAACGATCTTATTCTCAAGTTTGAAGCATTAGCTACCCACCGGTTATTCTTGAAATAGATAATAGGACTTATTTTGGGAGGTTGGTGTATCATAATATAATTAGTTGTATTGTATGTACCTAGTGCTCTATTGGGACTTTCATTCACATACATCCTAATCTAATCGCCTCCCTTACCGCCTTCAATTTTAGTTGCAACGATTTGATCCCGTTTTCAGCCACCATCAAATAGTGGAACAAAGGAAAGAAAAAAAAAGATAGTACATGAAAAAAAAAAAAGATTAAAAAATAAAATCCAAAATCCAAAAATCAAGAACCCTGGTAAAATCCCCAGTCTTTTTCTTGTGTCACCGCACCACGCCATCCCATCTGCTGCATTCCGAAAGTCCCTGTATCCAATTACAATTGATTCAATCAATTGAGTTGAATTGACCCGTCGCTACGAAAAGATCATATTGCAGGAACAACAAACTTAACTTTAGACCTTAGACCTTAGACCTTAGTTAGACCACCCCTTCTTGTCTGGTTTCCCGCGTCGCATAACTAAATGTTCCTTTGCCGTTCCCATCTTTACATGAATTGAATTGAACTAAATTCAATTTTCACTTCAACAACAAAACTTACTTTACTCTTAGAGAGTCATTCCATAAAGATTTCAACATCAACATCAACATCAACATCAACATCAACATCAACATCAACATCAACATCATCATCATCATCATCATCATCATCATCTCATCGTCATTCCTCCCTTAAACCAAGCTACCTTTTCAAAACAACAAACATTATACTGTTCTAAATCAGCAACCATGGGTTACGATACTCGTCGAAAGCAAGTGAATTGGGTAGCTCTAGGAATAGAGTTGCCACAAACTCATGCCGAAAAAGCGGCCGCACGACTTTCACCGCCTTCAATAGCGACGTCGACATCAGAACAGCATATTTCGAAAAAGTCAAAACGAGCGCGCCGAGATTCTTGTTCATTATCACCGCCACCCAAACGTATTTATACCGCACCTAAAGATATAAATACCCCGCCACTTTCACCACCAGCCGAGATTCATGAATTCGAAAATCACCACGACGAGGGGATGGAGAAGGAATTTAAACGTGGGGAAGGGAAGGATGAGAAAGTTGAAATTGAAGAAATTGACTTGGCCGAAGTAAAGGATGAAATTGTTGAAGGAGTGATCATTCAATTACAAAAAACTGCCAATAGGCCTCATTTGGTTAAGGAACTTGCTGCCATTTTGTCCCCTACCGTTAGAATCGTGGAACAGTAAGTTCAAACTAGTCCCGGTTCACCCTCTCAATCATCATAAGTATGAAACTAATGAAAAATTAGATCTGCCAACCCATGCGCAATCATTTCCTCTCGATTATCTAACTATTTAAAACGATCATGGACTGCGTCATCACCTTGTCCTGTGGGCAAAGAGTTGGAAACTGTACATCCAAGAAGAACATACTTTTATTTGACAACTTATCCACATCAACCAATTCCTGATCCATCACAATTACCTCAACGTACGATTATCACTCCTTCCATATCAAGTGCGGACTCAGTAGCCGATGAACCAGATCGAAGTCGATGTGATTCACCTGAGGTTGACCTATCCTCTGAGGAATATGATGATGACGATTCGGTTATACCTCCAACTTCACCTGGTTCGTTTTCCGGTCGATTCGAACGTCCCGTAAGGAATAACCGTGCTTCGTCTGTGGGTCTCGAAAAGGATGAGAAAGAATTCACTCAAACAGCTCGTGGAATGCAAAAACGAAGATTCAGTGGCGAACCACCATCAAAACCATTTGATATTACCGATATGCCATCAAATATTTCAAATACTCCTATGAAATCCGTTGAATCAGACCCGTTTTTCGGAGAAAGTCGAGGATTAACAGTGTCGAACACGACGGGTTTTATGAATAGCCCCGCTATGAAACCTGTTTTCGTGTCGAAAAAATCTTGGGATTCTACTCTAGAAACTTCTCATACGAATTGGACGCCAGCGAAGATCGAAACGTTAGATTGGGATACAAGAAATCCGGAAAACGTCGAGTTGGATGAATTAGATGGTATGCTTGATGGATATTAAATTCCTCTTAAACTTCCATATTTACGATTATACGCATATGAAAGATTCTACCAGTGTTGGGATCAGGAATCTTTTGATTCCATTGTACAAATAGGTGTTTTTTTTCACTCTTCAAGATTTCTATTAGGGGAGTTGTACGATTTATTTATTAGAAGAAATGGAAAGATGGACGAATGAATTGGAAAACACGAGACAAAAGGAAAAATAAAAGAAATGTGATCCTGGGGATCATAGGATATTTTTGGAGGTACTCTCGTTTTAACCCATACCTCATTGCCAAGTCTGATATTTTCTGCGATGGTGTTTGGGATGGAGTTTTTTTTTTACTTATGCGTCACGTCTTTATTTGGGGCTTTTTTGGGAAACACAACTTTCATGACTTGAGATGATGAGAGATAGAATGGATTCGGAATACTTTCGTTACCCACAGCTGATGGAGTCAAGAGTCAAGAACCTTCTATCTATAAGATTGAATGGGGTAGGAGGGGCTTTGCCAAAGGGTTTCGAGGATTAGAAATGTGGAATCACGATCATAACATGTTACTCTTACACGTTGATGAGATGCTTGATTGGATGGGTGTCTACTTTTTCTCCGTGTGAAATCGAGATAAGAGGTAGAGGTACCTGGTGCGTGGTGTGCAGCGATGAACTTAGATTTCGGTGAACGGACGGACGGACGGATGGATGGATGGATGGATGGATGAGAAACTCGAAAAATACAATATGCTTGCTTGACTTGGCTTAGATGAAAGATAGCTGTGTATGTACAGTACTAGACAAAAAATAAAGATCATTTCGTGCATTTGCATTAAAAAAAACTCTAATTCTTACACTTTTCAATTTCAATTAATTTTCATAATTTTATATAAATTATTTATATAAAAATCATATCTTTATATTGAGTACTTTTTTTACTATATATTTTTATATTCTAGTTATTTATTTTTTATTAATTATTTTAAATATATATATATTATCAGTACATCATATGACCAACCTCAAAAGGGAGGCCGTACACAATGAGAGCTGTACGATTAGTGTATTCTAGCCTGTACCCCTTTCAATATAAATAGATCCCTTTCCTCTAGATAGATAATAATTACCTATGAATAAATACAATAATAATACAATTGCATTGCAATTAATATCACCGAAGTGATATCGATATATATATAAAGAAAAAGAAATAAAAAAATTAAAAAGATTAAAGAGATTTTTATATATATATATATATATATTTTTTAATAAGGGATTTTTAAAAAGAGTTTGATTTGATTTGGGTTGATTTGGTTTGATTTGATTTGTAGTTGAGTATAATATATAATGTGGATTTTAAGTGTTTGTTTGTTTGTTTGTTGTATTAAATGATAGAGTTGGAAGTTGGAAAGGAAAGGAGGTGGGAGTGTGAGTGTGAGTGTTGGTGGAAATGGAAATGGAAATGGAAATGGAAATGGAAATGATGAGATTAAATATAAATTTTAATTATATAAAGAAAAGAGTAGGAGATAAGTGGATGGAGGAGGAATAGGATAGGATAGGATGGAATGGAATGGAGGAAAAGGATGGAATGGAATGGAGGGGTGGAAGGGAAGGTGGATGGAAGGTGGATGGAGATGGATGAAGGAAGGGTGTAATGGTGAAATGGTACAAGGCAATTAAAATGTGGTTGTTAATTACAGCTCACGACTTGCCACTCGCCATTTGCCACGAGCGGCGTGTTATAAGTAGCGTACTATACAATTATAATAAAAATAAAGATGAAGATGAAAATGAATATAAAGATAAAGATTAAGAGAGGTAAGATTGTTTATTAAAGTAGAAATCTATTTCTTTTTCTTTCGTAATTCATTTATTCATTTATTCACTCTTTAAAACATTTATCTTGATTCACTGATATATATGATTTAAAATCTAATAGATTTACATCAACGATTTTCTATAAATGATATTGTTGATATCACTTTAGTAATACTGTACTATTTATAATAATATTTTTATATTTTATTTATAGATGATTATTATCTATTTAAAAAAGAGAGATTTATTTATATTAAAAAAGATACAGATTTAAAATACATTAGTGTAACGATCTGGTCGAGGCAGCGGCTGCCTGAGGTTTCGTATGGTTGGTAGTTGTAGGTTAAGGCTAATAATCACTGGTTATCCACTTGAAAGTGAATTCGTTTGAAAGGTAGGTAAACTAATTGATAACTAAGTTGAGCACGAAGCTCCTGTCTATGAAACTATTCTGACTATATACTAATCCATTTTGGGAGCCTCGAGGAGCCTACGGGAGCCCACGCTCCTGGAGGCTCCATCACGTGACTATGATCAGACTATATGTCCGAGCTTGCTGAAGGTGGGGAGACCATATGAAGCGATTACCATACAAATTTGTATACAAATTGCTTTGCTTTTCAAGGAGGTCCAAGCTCACATGGACAGGTTGACTGTTACCCTGTAACATTCTATAAAATGATTTCGTGACAATTAGTTGTACAACTCTCTTTTGAGGTTAATTATATAATATACTAATAGATATATAATAATAAGTGTTATAAATTCTATATAGATATTTAATACTATTATACTTTCTGACAAGTTTAAATTTATATAAGAATAAGAGATTATTATTAAACTAATAAATAATTCTTATATTAATAATGAAAGTTTTATAACAAATAAAATTTGAAAACTTTTAATTTAGTATTTTTAATTATTATTTTTAAATTATATTTTGAATTAATTGATTTTTTTAATTTTTATTTATAATATTTATATTTATTTTATTTATTATAATTATTTTTGACTTTTATATTATTATTATTTATTTATCTTTTTCTTTTTATTTTCTTCTCTTTTTCTTTTTTAATAATCATCAAAATCCTCAACAAAAGACCTCGTTAATTAAGATTTTTAAATTTCAAAGTTTTATTTTATTTTATTTTTAATATATTATATATATATATATATATTTTTTTCTAAAAAAGAAAATCAAGATACAAAAATATCATATTTTTATATTTTAATAATTTAAATTTAAACATTCTTTTTATACATTAAAGAAAACAAAGAATAGAATTGAAATAAGATATTTGATATATAAAATACACTTTTTAATTGATATAGATAAGATTTATAAAAATTCAAAATAAACACTTTCGGTCAGATACAGGTTTTGAAGTCAAAGAGGTCTGGAAGTATTTTCTTAGGGCAAGGAATTTGTATAGATTGACTGGAGAAGAAGTTTGTGTATTGGGTATTCGAACACGATTTGAGGTTTGGCTTTTTTGTTGTTTTTTGAATCTTGATTTTTATGTTGTTGTCGTTGTTGTCATTTTCTATCATTGGATTCTTATACCATCTTCATTACCATCTCTATATACCACTCCATCCATTCCAAGCTCCTGATCAAGCACAGAATTGTGCGTCATTCTTTACTAGCGCATGTATATTCCACTGAAATGCTGGTGGGCTATTAGAAATTTGAAAACCCCGTGTGATGGAAATGGTAAATGCGTTGCTTTGTAAAGAAAAAAGTTAAAAGGTTTCTTAACAAAAGTTAGAGTCTTTTATATTATAGAAGTGCTCCCTAAAATAGACCGGTGTCATCTGAGCATTAAAATCAAAATGTGATTTAAAGTCCGCTGGTCACTTTTCACCGTTTTCATCCTCATGTAACGCTCACAGCTATGCAGAATGCCTTTGGTAAAGTATATAAAAGACTGCTTGGATTTCATTCTTACCCCGTATCTCGATCAGATTTAGACGAATCAATGCCTTGAAGGAGTTGTGTCGAGGTTTTGACAGAGATATATAAGTTATGTTGGTAGTTTAAATTTGATCAATGTTTTGATAGATTACAGCAAGATTGACAAGTTACATGAGATGATGGCATTGAATGAAAAAAATGGTAGTAATATTTATCAGCTATTTGATAAATTCTATCAACTACTGTTGGCCATACTATGATTAGCCGACAAATAGAACTATTGATTTATCTTCATCAAGTATTCTCACTGCTAGGATCTCAATTACTGGTTTCATTACCGCTACCACTGCCATCATCGCTATCATATCATCCCATCATACCATCAACAGAAACCTTATCTAATACGTCCCCCATCTACTGTACATCATTCAACTTCCCCAATTTCGAGGCTCAAATAATGGACAGGCTATAGAGTTTTCCTGTCTGTAACAGGAAATGTATCATTAGGATTTAGCTAGTATTAAATTACTAACTAAAGTTAGTTTATATACACAATATTTCTATGCTCATTTTGCCTAAGCGGAGACTAAAAGTTGCATCGAATTGGAAGTCAACATTTACTAATTACTTACACTCTCAAGCTTGATTGAGCATTTTAATTCAAAACCTCTCTTCTTCTTCCCCCCTAGTACTTTTCGATCCTCACCTGACCACAAAGTTTCCTTCCCCTCCTTCTGCCATGCAAACTTAATATAAAAGTCACATTTTACCTCTCAATCAACACCATAACCACAATCAAACCCCTAAAAATACTGAGTATAGGCGTTGCATCCCCCGCCCATTGAGCTTCGGTAAATATACAAAGTTCTATCCAAGAGCTCCGCGGGGTGCGAGGGTGATAAGTTTGTCGATTTTACCATTGATTTCGTTATTCTCATTATCTTCTTATTTACTTTCGTTGCCATCATTAAAATGCCGAATATCTCTTATATCATTGCCGAAATGAACTTTAGCGCCTTTGTTCCTTATGAGCTTGTAGGTTTAAATCCTGCTCTCTGGATTCTTGGTAGTAAACTGAGATTGCATTCTTGGAGATTTGAGAAGGATCTTGCACTCCTTGTACTCAGTGTTTTCGACTACAGTGGATGAGGATTTATGAAGTGAGACTCTAGAGTTTTATATACAGTTCCGGTTTGTTTGATCCGTCTTAGTGTAAAACAGAGAGAGAAGTGGAGATAGGACCGAGTCAGAGGGAACTACGCCATTTCAATTCACTTCACTTCAGTCATTTGCCCTTACTTCTGTCGAATACTCCCCCACACTATGGAAGGCATGTTTCTACTTTCTTTCTGTGATTAATCGAATCTTCTGGCTTACATAAGCGATGGCCATGAGTGCAGACAGGACATGGTTAGATTTGTGTGGTGATATACAAGTAGTTTCTCTCTTATTTGGTGGGAATTATTGAGTGAAAAATTTTGGGATGTAGAAACTTGTCATTATCATTCGACGCATATCTTTACAGTTAATTGCTTTTGAATTTCATTATCCTGTCATGCATCTACACACTATTCTCGCGTATTCTCAACTACTGGACGAGACTTCCTTTATGTCAATTTTCCATCTAACTTTAATTCTCCAAAATGAACTGCTAGCAACCGAAAAGCCAACCCCAAAAATCACTGATGAAGTAGGCTAAGACACAACTCGGTGGTTCTTGGTGAGACGTAGCAGGGTTATTTAAGGGGTCTTAGGTCTAAAAGTCTTGGCGCGAGAGAGAATGCTTGACTTTCTGGGACGTGATTAGGGATGAAAATTTTGTGATTTTGTAAAGCATAATAACCTAGGTACCTCAATATGATTTAATAATAATCTAGTTCTCTTTATTATAATGTAGATTTTTAATATCTTTTTTTGAGAGGAAAAGAGACAATTGAAATAAATGATTGAACAGATCAAAAAGGAATCTTTTTTTTAAAGTGAATATTAAATCACCAAATGTATTGATTCGTTAATCATGATGACTGATCTTTTTTTAAAAAAAAAATTAAAGAATATAATAATAAAGTTATATCAATTGTTATGTTTTGTATTAATCTAGCTTCGCTTTACATAAATTCCTCTTCCCTAGACGTGCTATGAGATAATGAATGAAGTGGATCAATTCAACAGTTGGGGCAAAAAGACTAGTCGCCTTGTCTATGATTTCCACCGTAACATTGTTTGTGAAATTATTTTCCGTTTTGGCTTAGAGCAGCCCAGATCTAGTGAAAGGTGTAAATAATGCTAGAAGATGAGGCCTCAAGAGACCTAGTAGGGTATTTACCAGATTGTCGTCCTGTCGTGCCAGTATATGAACTCCAAGGGTGAAACTTTTTTAACTTCGTGGTCATTTCCGAAACTATCATGTTGAAGGTTTTTCTTGCCATTATCTTTTTCTTCCACTGTTATTTTCTCAATTCGTCGTGTAAGTGTTTTGCTCTATGACATAATTATAATTCCTCTCCGGTGGTGGATCTTTTCATTGCAGCTTTAATACTCACTACCGGATTTGATAATTACGGAAGTAAAAGTTTACCATCTCCAAGTAATCTTCCTTGGTATTAGTCTCCAGCTATAAAAGCAAGCTTTTCGGGACATCATAGGATAGTTTCTATCTATCACAAGAATTCAGCATAAGCCTCAACGGGTATGATTACGGGATGTTTTCATAGATGGATTTGAATTATAGAGATATCGCAGGAGCGAGTACAGTAGAAAATACTTTTCGTTTTCACTAGAGTGAGTTACTGGTATCCAAGCGTATTTCCTGATGTTTGCCAAAAAAAGCTTGTTCCTATGAATCGATCCTCTTCCCCTTCAAGTCTATCAAAGACGGCCAGAAAAATGTTGAATATATGATTTTATTGTGTGTGTATCGCGTCAACGATATAGTAGCACTGTGCGAAGCTCGATCGCATTCAGATTGTGATAGGTCTACTATCTCAGCAAGTGAGGCAAGTGACTGTGCGGGAAGACAATCCGGCAGTCATTACCAAACTTCTCATAAACTGCGGAAATAGCATCATTTTACTGTCATTGGTCATTTATCGTTGATAATTTCATTAAACTATCTCCCTTTCCCACTACCTATTGACTGAGCCCTCATACCTACGCAGTATAATTCTCGCATTTTGACCTCAAGTCGCTACAGCTACTGCTCATCTGCTAGTGTTAATTCCGTTATATAGAACGAATCTTGATCTATTTTGGATAGGAATCTGCTAGCCAGTCCTCATGGTTTTATACTGAGATTTTAAAATTCCACTGTATCCAGAGTTTTTGGCTGTGTATAATTGGTTAAAGTAGGACATTAATATTGACGCACAATATGTATTTTCGTCGGTCCTAGGTTGGATCGCCAGTGCAAAAAAACCTCGAGCTAAATCATGACTAGATGGCCGCATAGAAGACAATAAAGCCTTCTTTCTCCCTTGGGAATGAAGACAGCCTTGCAAATAGCCGTCGCAGTTACAGGACACAGTGTGTCTTTCTCTTACACTTGACAGATTACTATTTCCACAGGCCTCCAATAAACCTGCCCTCAGAAACACTTTGGGAATAAACCAATTGCAAAACATCTAAATGACAGTAAAAATACAAAGTCTTTAATAATCATTCACCTAGTTAGTTTTCATCGTCGTTTTCTCATACCCATCACATTCCGAAAACATTTATATGATAACACATCGCTAGCCACTAGTCCTTTCTTGGTAATCTTATGATGGAGTAATAATCTATAATATTAAACGATACTTGGATCTTGAGGTGTAGACCGCAATGCATCTCTCTTACACCATACAGGATCCTTGCCATGGCGGTTGTTATCCAGTAGGAAAACCAATGTCAATAGCCCTAATCCGTATGAAAACGCAGGGACTTCAAAACTGGAGATATGTGAAGCTGAATACAATAAGTCGATTCAAATAATCAGTCTAATATCCTTCTAACAAAGACTTCCAGGCCACTTCTCATAAATATAAGAGCCAGAAGCCAAGAGGTTATATATACGCACTGACAGCAGCAATACCGAACTTTTGAAAGCAGTGTATAAACCACCTCATCACATAATATTTCGCTGCCGTTTATCAGAGTTGATAGCATTCGAAAAGAATCTCCATACCCTTAGACGGTACTACCTAACAACAATTTTGCTTTGAAACATATCTATCCCTCACGCCCTCAAAATCCATGTATTATTGTGCGGTCAAATGTTTGGTATGAGGAATTGAGGTTCATTGTATGCAGGATGCCGTTGTAGACGTATCTATATATATGAAAAGTCAAAGCAGTTTAATTGCTGGGTGGAGGCGGCGGTTTCAGGGTATTATATATTGTGTGGGTTAATATTTAGTAGTAGCTAGCCTGTTGTCACGTAGTAGATATTGTCATCATTATTATACGCTGACGTCCAAACGCCACTTGTGAAGGATGTGTATGTGAAGATATTGATAAAGGCCAAAATTTATTTATTTTCTACATCTCAGTATCTGAATGTAGAAGGCGATTGTGCAAAGCTTTTTGCCCTCCTATGACAACTCATTGTTGTGTGACACTTTGATCGGGCTCAAAGGTGGTTTGGTCGGCGTACCACCCTTGAAGATTTTATCTTTAGCTGTAATTTCGAGTCTGGCGGGTAGGTAAATATCGGTCATCCAAGCAAACCTAAATTTCCTCCCTCCTATTACCTACATAGGGCCACTATTGGAAGGACATATATTCCCAAGATATAAAACAAGAAACGGGTCCATGCGCCTGGACGGCGTGGAATCTCGGTTGACCTTATTAGTGGTATCCCTGACTTTGGAGGGATAGAATGCTCCCACAAAGATACCACCCGCACCTCGAGTTTTTGTGTCTGAGCATTAAGCCAGATTGTCGAGTTGTCAATACCACCATTAGACGAGGAAAGTGGTAGTGTTTGAGACTATCTATAAGCGAGGATGCGTCGACATTGTCAAAATAATGAAGCTGCTATCATGAGGCCCCCTAGTAAACATGACATTTTCTAGTAGTATTCGTTACATATAACAAGGAACACATGAGACAGTGACGACCAGCAAAAGACGATTATCATTATTTGCATAGGGATTTCAACAAGTAGTCGAGGAAGTAATACAACGAATATTCAAGCTACAAAGGTATTCCTGTCGTGAATATCAATGCTTTCGAAGATATGTTACGCCACCAACTTCACAATCATAGCCTCACTTAAGGTATATGGAATCGTTCTACATTCTCCACAAAACCATCAACCGTATAATGACGAGAGCAGTCAGATCATAGATCCAAAAGCAAACATCCGGATAGCAAAGATGGTGGTCAAGTGAACAGTCAGCAGCTCCCCTCGACAGAGCAGAATTTAAAGATGTCATAGAACATTCGAAGGATTTAGTGTTACAAATGAATGATTTCCGGAAAGCACTGGCTTATGGCAGAACATTCAAGTAACATGAAAATATAAAGTGATATAGGAAATGTCAAGGGGAAGAGCAAAAGTGCATTTTGGAGAAGATGCCTTACCGTAGATGTGTCACCAGGCCGATTTGAACCGTGAAAACTGGCTGGATGGCCGTCAATGCGCCAGACAGAGATTTTTCAATCGCCCCTAATCCGAGAACGGTGGCTTAACTGCTCCCAATAACCTTAAACCATGTCAATCGAAGATCCAGTACCTATTCTCACCAAATATTGAAGACCGAATGGAGTGAAGGCAAGCAAAATTCGCAAGCTCCTCGGAGCCACCGATGTTTTCTAAACCTAATGAGAAAAGTGCATCTAATCACGTGATGGCATGTCGAGATTAATTGTGGCTATTTCGTCATTTATTGTGGATCATCTTCCCATCTTACAAGTCCTCGGCCAACCAGGTTTCCATACCTACAGAATACTGTTCCCGCCTCTCTAGGATCATGAGAAGCATTTAGGGTCGGCTTACCAAGTTGAATTTTGGTTGAAGAAAAAAAAGCCATTTCTTTTCCATGAAGGTTTCTTGGAAATGTCTCTTGTTTTCACCGGAGGAAGAAACATGTCTAAGAAAGCCATCTGAGCTTATCCCATTTTTTGGAGACTAATAATGCGGGGCATCTGATATCGAACCTCAACCGCGAATCATAATGCACCATGCAGATGAACTCCTCCACAAAAAAGGCTGTTTAACATATCACCATAAAAATCACGTCGAACAAACGACGTCTAAATATGATGTTGATGACTCGAAATAGTCAGTGGGATGAAAAGATGGAGTTCAATATGGGAGATAAGGTTACAAGACGGCGAACCATTCGTACGGGATTTGGACTAGTACTGAAAACGGGGAATATTGGAAGGATCAGTACTCGAATATGCAAGTCAGATATCCGCAGACGCACCTCTCTTGACTCTTGACTCTCCGTCCAACCCCCCTTATCCCACTCCAAGTTTCTAAACCCTGAACTCAATCTTTGGCTGCACGCTAAAGTGAAGGCTAAAGTAGAGCCCAAGGCGGGGAATGGATCTAGGAGCTCGATAAGTTATCTAAGTAGAATGTTTTTCTCTCTACCCTCGAGCTATAAAAAACGGTTCCCCTTAGTTTTTCGCACACTGATGTGGAATGAGGGAAGTAATTGTTTTTTTAATATAGTACAGGAGGAATTCTGTACTCTTTCATTCTCACAACCAAACATTTCAACTCCAATACTCAATAATCTGTATACGAAAAACAAGTACATGTTGCGCACTCCTATCTGATCAATACAATCAAAAGTCAGTCAATACCGCCATTCATGAGTATTGTGCGCATTGTTACAATTCACCCAATTCACTATCTACCAATAGTTCAGTAAGTTCTCATTTCAAATCATTGCGCAATGCTTACTTGGGAAATTGTGCACTATTGCGCAATGTTCTTCCTTTGGTGCTGGATATTCTGTTATAAATTCATGAGAGATATGATTCTGACCCAATTGCACAGCTTCCCATCTCGAAAATGGCGATAAATCAAGAATCTCCCGTCATGTCTTCAGAAAACAACTCAAAAATCGATGTCAACGACAAATCTAGGCAAGAATATAGCAGCGAAGATCAAGCTCCTAGATCCGAATTCAAGAAACTCAGTTGGCGCAGTACATGGGGATTTGGTCCTGTAAAAATTGGTCCAAGAATTGGTCCAGTTTTGCCACATCTTCGTATGGATGCCGACGCATCAAGTATCAGCAGTGATAGTGGAAATGAACTTTTGAACAAGCAGATTCAAGCCGAGGAGGGTTCTGCGATCAAATATCGTAGCTGCAGTTGGCAAAAGGTCATACGCAACATTCTTATTCTTCGTATGACTGCTAACGCACAATAGACTGCTGCTCTTCTATTTTCAGAATATATCTGTTTGGCAATGATGTCATTTCCATGGTCTTACTCAATTTTAGGACTCGTACCAGGTCTTATTTTAACTGCTGTTGTTGCATTCTTGGTCTTATATACATCTCTCGTTTTGTGGGAATTTTGTTTGCGCCATCCTGAACTTAGAGATGTTTGTGATGTTGGACAAATGCTCTTTGGTGGAAGATGGGCATGGCATGCTACTGCTGTCATGTTTCTTTTGAACAATACCTTTATTCAGGTATGAATTGTCACATTCACTTTTTTACAACTACTAATTAAATCAGGGACTTCATGTTTTGACAACTGCAAAATACTTGAATACCGTCACCAATCACAGTCAATGTACAATAGTGTTCGCCGTTATTGCCGCTGTCATTTGTTGGGTTTGTTCTGTCCCAAGGACTTTCAGTGCTTTATCCTGGTTAGCAACCTTGTCTGCAGTCTTCACCTTCATCTCCGTTATGCTCGCCACTATCTTCGCTGGAATTGAAGGTCACCCTCTCGGTTACAATCCCGATCCTACGTCCATCATCCCAGCCACAGGTCTATTTGGAGGAGCCCCAATTGTTACCGCGATACCAGTCAAAGGTGTAACATTCGTAAACGGTTTCAACGCGTTCCTCAACATCTCCTACACATTCATCGGACAAATCACCATCCCTTCTTTCATGTCTGAGATGAAAAATCCCGCCGATTTCCCTAAAGCTCTTTGGGCTGTTACCATCGCCGAAGTCATTGTATTCAGTTTAGTCGGTGCAATAATCTACGCCTTTACCGGAAACCAATACATGACAGCTCCAGCCTTTGGATCCTTAGGAAAGAAACTCTACGTCGATATATCCTTCTCCTTCATGGTCCCAACCCTCATTTTCCTCGGCGTCCTCTACGCTTCCGTCTCCGGCCGCTTTATCCTCCTCCGCGTCTTCCACAACAACAAACGTCATCTCACCGACCACACACTCACCGGTTGGTCCGTCTGGATTCTCATACTAGCCATAACCTGGATCGGGGCCTTCATCATCGCCGAAGTGATACCCTTCTTTTCCGATCTCCTCTCCCTGATGTCATCCCTCTTCGATTCCTTTTTCGGATTCATCTTCTGGGGCGTAGCATATATTAGAATGCGACGCGTAGATTACGGAGAAGGTTGGGTGCACAAGACAAGTAAAGTAGGTTTGGGTTTTAATATCTTGATTATTCTTATCGGTTTGTTGTTCCTGAGTGCGGGTACTTATACGAGTGTCCAGAGTATTGTGGATGGGTATAATAATGGGAGTTTTGGCGGTGCGTTTACGTGTGCTAGTAATGGGATTTAGTGAATAGTTGAGTAGAATAGAGTATATGGGATTGAATGTGGTATAGAGAAGTGAGTAGATTGAGGTAATTGAGGTTTGATTCGATTCGATCCGTGGATTCTTTGCCTCCCTAGTTAATTTTTTATGTACTGGGATATCGGGAAATATAATAGTACAGAGTATATATAATTCATGACGTGAATAGTATAAATACTAGAAGAAGTAATATATCTATCTGTATATATAATCTAATTCTTACAAGAAGAGGTGTAGAGTTTACAAATTGATATCTGCTCAATTAATTAATTATTTAATTAATGATATTATCTACCTTGAATATATTATAGTAATTTATTTTATATAAATAAAATAAATAAAATAAGTAAAATAAATAAAATAAGTAAAATAAATAAAATAAATAAAATAAATAAAATAAATAAAATAAATAAAATAAATAAAATAAATAAAATAAATAAAATAAATAAAATAAATAAAATAAATAAAATAAATAAAATAAATAAAATAAATAAAATAAATAAAATAAATAAAATAAATAAAATAAATAAAATAAATAAAATAAATAAAATAAATAAAATAAATAAAATAAATAAAATAAATAAAATAATAAATTAAGAAATTTAATCATTCAAGAGTAATAAAAATATAAATCTATGTTACGAGGGATGCGATCTAGATCACGTGGAAGTGGCCTGGATCCTCGAATGGTTTATAACTAGGCGTCAAGCAGGGGCTTTAAATAATATCAATAGTTGCAATTCGTAACTAATAGTAGAGTATACTAAATGATTAATCTTGAGCACGAAGTTTTACAAAAGGAATCCTTTCCTAGTTATATAGACCTTTGTATCAATTGGATTATAAGGATCTAGGATACGATTCTCTAGATCCCCTAGATCCTTATGATCCATCATGTGACTAGGATCAGACTATATGTCCGAGCTTGCTGAGAGTGGGGAGACCATATTATAACGATCTGGTCGAGGCAGCGGCTGCCTCAGGTTTTCGTATAGTTGGTAGTTGTAGATTAAGGCTAATAATCATTGATTATCCATTCGAAGATGAATACATTATTAGATCAATTGGAATATAAATAAACTAATTGATAATTAAGTTGAATACAAAGTTTTTAAATTATAAAACTATTCTGATTATATACTAATGAATGTAAAGGAGCTTTATGAAGCTTTAAAGCTTCAAAAAGCTTTTGAAACTTTAAAAGTTTTTGAAGCTTTCAAAGCTTTTTATCATATAATTAAAATCAGATTATATATTCAAACTTGTTAAAGATAAAGAGATTATATAAAGCGATTATTATATAAATTTGTATACAAATCGTTTTACTTTTCGATAAGATCTAAATTTATATAAATACATTAATTACTATCTTTCAATATATTCTTATTTTAATTATAAATTGTAATATTATTCCTTTCTTAATTAAATATTGTTTTAATTGTTTATAATTCTTTGGATTTCATTTAATAATTAATATTTTTTCTTTTTTTATATTTTATTTATCTTTCTTTTTTTATTATAAATAATTCTGATTCTTTTAATAATTTAATTCGAAGAAAGAAAAAGGAATGTATATATTTAGTTACAATTATCGATTCTATTAATATTGAAATGATTTTTTGTTCTTATTATCGATAAAAGAATTGTTGTTATATTAAAGATCTCTTTGATAAATATTATTTGTATTGTTCGGAATATATACGAAATTCTGTTTTATATGATACTAAGTTTTGTTTGGAAGATGATTGAAATTGTAAAATTCCTTGGGAATATAATTGGAAAAGTTTTGATCGATAGATCGATAAATTGAATACTGAAATCGCTGAATCTTTTGTTAAAACTATTCACTTTATTAAATAGAAAACACAATTCAAAAAACGATATAATAAAATGTTATATTGCAGGTTCAAATATCTTAATGAATTTGATACTTTTGAAAAAAAAGAACAAAAAGAAAAAGATAAAGAAATTCCTACAACCCTTTTATTGTCTTTTAATCAATTTGATCAATTTGATTAATTTGATCAATTTGATTAATTTGATCAATTAACCTCTAATCGATTTGATTAATTACCAATTAATTTTATCAACTTTAACGAAATTTCTATAAACGAATTCGATTCTTTCGATTTTTCTTTACAGAAAATAATAAATTCTTTTTTCTTTTAAATAAATCTAGATTCTATTAACGAAACTTTTGATATTTCTTTAGATATTTAATTTCTTTTTCAAATTCTTATATATTTTCGAAATCAAAGTAATCTTTTTATTTCATTAAATATTTGATTTTGTTTTTAATATATTTATAATCTAGTATCTTTTTCATTTTGTATTCGATATCTTGATTTATAAATATAATTTCTATTTTAGAAGTTTTAGATGTTTTTAGGAATATTAGTTCGAATAAAGATATATAAAATATTGAATATATATTTATACTTTTCGATAATATTAATTTATAATTTAAGGATCTTTTAATCTTCTTGATTTTGAATGATTCGAATTTCTTGTAATCCAATTTTGTACTAGATCTTTTTGTTTTGATGTTTTTTCGAAATAAATAAATTTTATCTCTTTTTTTTAATATTGATTTCTAATTATATTTCCGATTATAATAATATATATTTCTTTCGATAACGAATTTCAATTCTATTATTATTTTCTTATAAACTTCTTTGAATTTTTCTATTTATATTATTACAAATTGATTCTCTATTTTTATAATTCTTAATTCACAATATACAATCAATTTATATTTATAATTAGTATAATTCGAAATAATTTGTATCGCTTTTAATGTTGAATTGTTATATATAAATTATATTAAAAATAAAAGTTCTATCCAATTGTTCTATTGATAATTTATATAATATCGAAAATAAACTTTAATAATTTGATTCATTCTTTTGTTTCTTTTATTAATTTGTAAATAGAATATAATAAATATTTTTCTTTTTATTTCTAATAATATTATTAAAACAATCCAAAATTTCGATATAAAAAGTTTATCTTTATTAAAAAGTATTTTCTTTAGTAATCTATATATTATAATAATCTTTTTCAGAAATATAAAAATTAGTATTTCTACAATTAATATTATTTGATATAACATAAATATCAGGTATTTCGTTAATCTATTCATTATAATGAAAAGATAATTATATATTATCTTTATTATTGAATCTTTGGATTTTGATAATGGATTTATAAAATCCTATGATATTGATTTCTATAATATAAATAGTATTTCGATAATGTTCATCTATTTATAAGAAGTATAATGAGAAGCTTTATTCCTAATATAAATATTATATTCAATAATCACTTTTTTGATTATATTATAAAGTTCTGGATTTTAATATTATCTTTTAATTTTTAAATATATTCTTTGTATTCCTTGATATCTATAAATTAGCAATATATATTGTTTTGTAATATATTCAAAAACGATACTATTTGATAATCAAATTTTATTTTTTATTCGAAATAATCTATTAATAATTATTAATAATTCTGGTTATTTGATATCTTTTTTATTCTATTATATTTTTATAAGTTTATCTTTCCAAATTTTTATTAATTTATTTTTTATAATAATGATTTCTATTAAGTTAGAAATAAGATTTCTATTTGATAAGGATTTTAAAATTACTATTTTTTGGTAAGTTTTATTGTTTTTGTAACCTGATAATTTATTTAAAATATTTATTCTTGTATTATTCTTTCCCTTGATATATTTGATTATCAAATCAAACTTTGTTAATTCCTTAATTCATTTAACCAATCTATAATTATCCAAAACCTTAATAATAATAAAAATTTGAAGATTTATATAATCAATATAAATAATTACTAGGAATTTAGTTTTTTAGAAATAGATTCTTCAATATTTCAATATTTTTATAATAGTTATAAGTTTTTTTTTATAAATATTATAATTTTATTTTATTTTGTTTATTTTGTTTGAATAATAAACAACAAAATATAATTTCCTACTATTATCTCTTTGTAGATAAACTCCTGTTATACAAATATCAGAAATGTTTATTTCGATAATACTTTCTCAATTATTATGATAATTATAAAAGATAGATTCCTTTATAAATCTATTCTTGATTTCTTGGAAAACCTGTTCCATCTTTTTATTTTATATAAAAGTTATTCCTTTTTTGGTTATTTCGATAAGGGATTCTATCATTTTCGAAAAATCTTTTATAAATATTCGATAAAAATTGACAAATCCTAATATAAATTATATATCCTTAACGTTTCTAGATCTTTCCTAATTCTTTATTTTCTTTATTTTTTTAGAATCTATATTCATTTATTCTGATTGAATAATATATTTTAGGAATATTACTTTTTATATTCCAAACTTATATTTCAATAATTTGAATCTTAAATCTATTTTTTTGAATACTTCGAATATTTTCAATATATATCTTTTATATTCCTTTTCTTTTTAAAAAAAGATTAGAATATTATTTAGATAATAGATTACAAATGAATTGAATTCTTTGAATATTTTTGTAACGATCTGGTCGAGGCAGCGGCTGCCTCAGGTTTTCGTATGGTTGGTAGTTGTAGGTTAAGGCTAATAATCACTGGTTATCCACTCGAAGGTGAATACGTTACTAGATCAATTGGAATGTAGGTAAACTAATTGATAACTAAGTTGAGCACGAAGCTCTTAAACTATGAAACTATTCTGACTATATACTAATGAATGTAAAGGAGCTTTGTGGAGCTCTAGAGCTCCAAAAAGCTCCTGGAGCTCTAGGAGCTTTCGAAGCTCCCAGAGCTCCTTATCACGTGATTAGGATCAGACTATATGTCCGAGCTTGCTAAAGGTGGGGAGACCACATGAGGCGATTACCATACAAATTTGTATACGAATCGCCTTGCTTTTCGATAAGGCCTAAGCTCATATGGACACGTTGACTGCTGCCCCTCAACATATCCTTATCTTAATCGTAAATCGTGACAATTTTGTTGTTTTGTTGTTGATATATAATTAATATATTGGTTAGTTCGAATAATATGATTGTATATTCTTATAAACTTGATAGTAGAATAAAGGTTGTCTTTTATTTGTAACTTTTTTTTATTTGTATCAAATTGAAAGTGTTTCTTTAATTTAATTTTATATAGATTATAACTTTATT